GCTCAGTGGCTGAGTGTCGACCTAGGAACCAGGAGGTCACGGTTCTATTCCCAGTCAGGGCACGTGCCTGGGGTGCTGGCTCAATCCCCAGTTTGGGCCGTGTAGGAGGAAACCGATCAATTAGTCTCTCTCTTTAATGCTTCTATCTCTCCCTTCCTTCTGAAATCAATACAAATATTTTTTTTTTTTTAAGTCAGAAACAACCTACGGGCTTAATCACAAGGAACAACAGCCTGAATTAGGAATCGAGAGTCTTCAGTGGTCGGCAACCTCATTAGTAATCATTAGTAACAGAATGGCAAACCACGGCTTAAGAGCTACAGTTTGCCGACCACTGACCTAGATAGTCAGAATAGAAGATTTAGTAAAAACTCTGCTTCACCCACTGGACTAGAACACAGCAGTTAAAAGGAACAGGGAATCATAGGGCTGGACCTTCGATGTTTTGTAGAATTAAAAAAAAAAAAAAAAAGCCTTCGTGATGTTGACTCGATGGTTGAGCATCAACCCATCACCAGGAGGTCAGGGTTCAATTCCTGGTCAGGGCACGTGCCTGGGTTGGGGGCTCACTCCCCAGCAAGGGGTGTGCAGGAGGAGTGTTGCTATGTCTCTCTCATTGATGTTTCTATTTCTCTCTCCTTCTCCTTTCTTCTCTAAAATCAATAAAACCTTATTTTTTAAAGACATCAAAAAACATACATTATAACACCATTTGTGGGGAGAAATATCCCACCGAAGACACTACATTTCCTTTGTATAAACCTGCGTCAACAGAAAAGCAAAGGAAAATAAATGGAAAAATCCAAAATAAACTGATAATATGGTCACTTTGAAAAGTAGGGAAGAGCTGAAACCACTTTGGCTCAGTGGATAGGGCGTTGGCCTGCAGACTGAAAGGTCCCAGGTTCGATTCCGGTAAGGGCATGTACATTGGTTGCGGGGACATCCCCAGTAGGGCTGTGCAAGAGGCAGCTGATCGATAATTCTCTCTCATCGATGTTTCTAACTCTCTATCCCTCTCTTCCTCTCTGTAAAAAATATATTAAAAAAAAAAAAAAGAAAAGAAAAGAAAAGTAGGGAAGAGTAGGGGGAAGCGAGAGCTGGGAGACTAATAAGAGAAGCAGCAGTTTTATTCTGTCACTGTCTATTGCTTTTTATATACAAACATAAAACAACTGCCAACTCTGCCTGCCAATCTGATTCTCAGATCTGACGAACCTTTTAAAGTTTATCTGAAACACAAAAGGGAAAAAAGGAAGAACTGAAAACTGCATTATTCCTGCTGCCAACGTGATCTCCTCTGGCTGTTAAAGCACACTTTCCAAAGTTGGATGTTCTCAGATTGAGTTGGTGAGGAGATACCATTCTGTACAGCTGTCACTTTTCTGGAGAAAAATGTACTTTTCACCTTAACATTTTATGTATAGTCGACATGATCTGTGAAGAGTGTTGACAGTCATTAAATCTCTTTCTAAGCGGAGAGATCTTTCCTGCTTCTGAATGTGTCACAGTAGTGACACAGGCTGCGTGTCTTGCTTCACACCTTATCTTGGGGTGTCCTGCGGAGGCCCCACACGATCCCTACACGTGACAGGGGTCTGTGCGTGGACAGAGAGCCAAAGGAGGTGAACACAGGTACCGCAAATATTCCGGCTACTCTACCACCGAAAACACGGAAGCTCACGTAAAGAAATGCTGACGAAATGAACCGATAATCCAAGACCCATTGGCACCAGCAACAAAATACTGAAATATTCATGGACAGGAGGACTCAGTAGAGTTAAGACAGCAGCTTTTCCAAATGCAGTCCCAATCAAAATCCCAGCCTGCATCTTATAGAACTGATGAGCCGATTCTAAGAATTACCCAGACACGCCAAGGACCAGAACAGGCAAAACAATGTTATAAAAGGAGGACAACATTGGAGGATTTACAATACTTGATTTCAGGACTCCCCATAAAATACAATCATCAAGGCTATGTCATAATTGGCGTAAAAACTGGCGCGCGCACACACACACACACACACCAATGGAAACCAACACAAACTCCAGGAACACACCACACGTCAACAGTCCACTGAATTTTAACAAACGTACCCCAGCAATTCCATGAGGAGAGGGTAATCATTTCAATAAATGGTGCCGGATATCCGTATGGGGGGGAAATGTAGCAGCAAGCCCTCCCTCACGCCACCCACAAAAATTAACTCAACACAGATGGCAGGTCAAAACATAAAGACCAAAACTCTAGGATAGGGGTGTCGAACTAAATCAGAGAAGGGGCCAAAATCTAAAATCCAGCCTAAATCGCGGGCCGAATGGTTTACTGAACAGTCATAAACTGTCATTGTGATGGAAACGCAGCGGAGTGCAGTGATGACACCGCGGTGTGGGCCACATTGCAAGGCCTTGCAGGACGGATTTGGCCCGCGGGCCTTGTGTTTGACACATGTGCTCTAGGAGAACACCTTCGTGACCCAGGTCAACAGAGATTTCTTAGAAAGGAGACAACAAGCACAAAAGGAAAACAGCGATAAATTGGACTCCATGAACGTTTAAAACTTCAGCATTTCGAAAGAAACCATGAAGAAGAAAACAAACAGGCAAGCCACAGAGAAGGAGAAAAATATTCACAAGACATCTGACAAAGACTTGTATCCAGCGTATCCAACAAACTGCAAAACCTTTTAAGGACCTACCTGTGCGGGCATCGCTCTAAGTCTAAGACGCGGGAGCCAACGCGAGCCGATCCTCCACCCAGGTGTCTGAGATCGGTGGCCTCTCGGGCTCCTCCTCCTGGAAGATAAGTAGCGTCAGAACGCCCAGCACCTGTGCTCTCTAGGACTCACCGAGGGTCAGAGCAGTGGTCGGCAAACTGCGGCTCTCGAGCCACATGCAGCTTGCGAGCCGCGGTCTGCCGCTCTGTTGACTAATGAGTTTGCTGACCACTGGGATAGGGGCTTCATCACAAGGAACAACAACAGCCTGTAATTATTGGAATCGAGAGTCTACGTCAGTGGTCGGCAAACTCATTAGCCCAGTGTTTCCCAACCTTCTCTCATGATGAGAATCACCTGGTGGAGTTGTTAAAACACAGATTCCCGGATCCCAACTAAGAAGTGCTAAACTAGAATTTTTGGGAACATATAGGTAAAATTGCATACCTAACTTAGTGCTCTGTATATAAAATCTGTCTTAGAGCACTAGTTAGGTATACAATTTTACCTATATGTTCCCAAAAATTCTAGTTTAGCACTTCTTAGTTGGGATCCGGGAATCTGTGTTTTAACAACTCCACCAGGTGATTCTCATCATGAGAGAAGGTTGGGAAACACTGGGCTAATGAGTTTGCCGACCACTGACGTAGACTCTCGATTCCAATAATGACAGGCTGTTGTTGTTCCTTGTGATGAAGCCCCTATCCCAGTGGTCGGCAAACTCATTAGTCAACAGAGCGGCAGACCGCGGCTCGCAAGCTGCATGTGGCTCTCGAGCCACAGTTTGCCGACCACTGGGTTGGAGAATCAGCCTCCCTCGGGAGGGGCCCCCAAGGCCCTGCATATACCTCAGGCATCCCACCTGCCCATCCAGGTGCAACTGCACCTTTCTCATTCGGCTACCGCCATTCCCTCAGAAGACGGAGCGGATAAAAGCGCCTGTTAGACTCGCATTTCACCTGCCAGTGAGTTCTGGGGTCAGCTCGTGTCATGTTCTCTCGTTTGCCAATTTCTTTTCCCTTTTTTTATAAGCCCCCGTCACTTCGGCACAATGATTTCAACAACTCAGTGAACACCAAAGAAAGGAGGAGAAAATGTAACAGCAAGCCCTACCTCACACCACCCACAAAAATTAACTCAAAACAGATGGCAGATCAAAACATAAAAGCTAAAATAGTCAAAACTCGTCTAGGAGAACACCTTCGTGACCCAGGGAGACAGAGATTTCTTAGAAAGGACAAAAACACAAAAGGAAAACAGTGATAAATTGGACTTATCAACATTTAAAACTTCATAGAACCCATCTTATCAATCAGTCAGAAGCAGTGCCCCGTAATGCGTATTTTAATTCTGAAAACGTTCAGCTTATGTATTCTGTTGAGTTAGGGAGCTGCAGGGAGGGTTGCATGCTGACCTCAGTCACTCCAGGGCCCGTGTCGCAGGGCTCCTGTCTGAGGGTCAATGCCAGGGCCTTCCCCACTCACCTGCCCAAACCCTGACATTTAAAGCAACTTGGTGAGCACAACTTCCTGGTATTTTTAAGTTTCCTATTTGCCTACCTACCTGCCTGGTGGGGTGTGGACGTTTTTCATGTCTCCATATGCCCTTACACGCATCCCTGGTGCCAGGCGGCAGACACATACAGCAGAATGTTCTGTGCAGAAAAAAAAGCTGCAGACCATCCAAGGCCTACCTCCCAGAACCTGATTGCATCCATTGTGATAAAGCCACTCACTAGAAAACCACGCAGCTAACCAAGAGAATAATAAAGGTGACGTACTCATGCACAATCTCATATTACAGTATATAGACTGCTATATGTATAATGTACTATGTGCTATGCACATTGACGAATACAATGGAATTATATTTGATAATATATGCTAGTATGTATTGTGATTATATTGTATTATGGACTACAAGCCATTGTATATTGACACGTCATACATTAATTCATGAAAAATCAAAGTTCGGGGGGGGGGGGGGGAAAGGAAAAAAAATTAAAGTGCAGAGAACTGTGAAGTCATCCCATTTTGGTTTGAATAAAGCCGCCAGGTGATGCTGCTTGTCCCTGGGCCACACCTGCAGTCTGGGAGGAGGGGCGTTTGGGCTTTTTTTTTTTTTTTTTTCTAGCTAAACAATGAATTTATTACTCGAGTACATAGGTATTTTATGCAACCAGTGCAGATTTCAGAAAGCTTTCACTCCATTGACAACCCTGCAGAGCGCCTCAGGGCAGCCGTGGGCGGACCCGGGGTCGTAATAAGAGCTGCCCCCATACCTCTGCCTCCGAGGTGCCCGCCCGAGCGGGGAAACTGAGGCTCAAAAGCCTGAGGTCCGCGGCGCGGAGAGACAGCGGAGCGGGGTTTCGAACCCCATGTTCTGCGACGCCGGCGAGCGTCCCGCCAGCTCCGAGTTCCAGACACGCCTCCCTCCAGGCAGGCCGTGGGGACTCCGGAGACCCAGCCCCGGGCGTGAGGGGCTGAGGGACGTCCGGCCGGCGGGGGGCACCTCCGGGCTGGGCTGGGCAGGCGGCCCCGGGTCCGGGGGAGCAGCGGGCGCAGCGTCCCGACTTATCCCGCCGGCCGCCGCGAGGGGGCGGGCAGAGGGGGCGGGGCCGGGGCCGGGGGCGTGGTCGCGTTCGCTCGGGCTCGCGCTCGCGCTCGTGCCGACGCTCGCGCCCGCGGGGCGAGCTCACCGGAGCGAAGACAGGATAGACGCTCCCCGAGCCGCCATTCCAACGCAGGCGCGGTGGCCAAGTGGTAAGGCGTCGGTCTCGTAAACCGAAGATCACGGGTTCGAACCCCGTCCGTGCCTTCTCCGCAGAAGACTTTTTTAGAAGTAGGATTAGTTTTCACGGAGCTCATCAGCAGTCACACCCGCGGGTGCCGCGTTCGGATCTTTACCGCGAGGTCCCGGCCAGGCCAACCCTTTTCACTCAGTTTGCGTTCCAACTCCTCTCCCGCCCCCGACAGGCTGGGAGGCCCGCCGGGCACTGCGACCCCTCCATCCCCGGGCGGCTGGTTTCGTGGGGGCTCCGTTGGACCGTTGGACCGAGCTCACAAACTCCACCGCCGCAGGGGTCACCTGCAAACCGTGGGCTGCGGGAAGACACCTACAGTGGCCTGTACTAGGCTTAAGAGCCGCTAAGCACTGTTCTGCACTCTGAAGTCCAACTTTATCCTCGAACTGCCATTGCTTGTCAGCTGGCATCTGGCTTGTTATTTTATTTTTAAAATATATTTTTATTGCTTTTTTACAGAGAGGAAGGGAGAGGGATAGAGAGCTAGAAACATCGATGAGAGAGACACCAATTCAGCTGCCTCCTCCACACCCCCTACTGGGGATGTGCCTGCAACCAAGATAAATGCCCTTAACCGGAATCGAACCTGGGACTTTTCAGTCTGCAGGCCACCACTGTATCCACTGAGCCAAACCGGTTAGGGCTGGCTTGTTATTTTAAAAGGAAATCCAGCATAGGCTCTGCATCGCAGAGAGGAAATCCTGCCCAGACTTGCAGCAGCTCTGACATGAAAACGGAACCCTCGCTCTGGGCCTCTGTTTGCCCCTCTGTATAATGGGTCTCTTTCTAGCACCGGTGTTGAAGCCAGCTGCCAGAGAGAGGTTTAAGTAAAAGAAGATGCGGCCGGCCGTATGGCACCTGTTTCTTTTGCATCAGGAGAGAATGCACACGGGCCTGCTCGAATGAGTTTATGGAGATTATGCCATGACCTCCATCAGCCTCCAGAAGTTGTATAAATCCAAAAAACAGCCTGACCTAAATTGGGGGAACCTGTATTAGCCCCAGATACCTAATTGGAGAAAGTGTTAACGGGGCTCCTGGTGCACGCCTGGTGGGGCTGGATCTGACAGTACCTCGGTGGGCCAGCCAGATCTGGGCAAGCCACAAAGAAGGGGTGATGGATGTGATGGGGGGTGGGAGCCTGGCAGGAGAGCAGGTAAGAGTCCCCACTTTTCAGAAGTGGTTCCCGCACTTCCCCTCTCATGGAGTTCATCAGCACCCCTGGAGAACTTGTGAAAACATGATGGCTGTGCCCACCTCCGCTGCGTCTGCATTCGGTAATTCTGAGCTGGGACCTGATCTTTTGTCTGTCTAACTGCCTGCCAGAGAGCGCTGCTGTTGCTACTGTCCCCAGAGCCACATTCTAACCCCAGGAGCACGTGTCTGCACACACACAAATATGTAAACTCACACATACAAATATGAACACTTCAACCTGGAGCTCGTGTTAAAATGCAGTTTCTGACTCTGCGGGTCTGGGCGATGCTGGTGTGCTGGTCCCCGCCCGCACTGAGCAGCCAGGGAGAGGAGGACCCGCCCTGGGGAACAGTGGCTGCCTCTGCGGAGGGAAGGGGCTGTTGAAAGGATTCCTTACTCTGTTAGTTTTCACATTGCTTGGATTTTCTACAAATGTCTCTATTACATGTGCAATTTTTTCCCCCCAGAATAACCTCCAAAGCCCACAAATACTAAGATAACCTATGAGAAAGCAGGCAAATTAGAAGCATCCAGAATTAAGACATACATGACTATTCTCTTCTCTCCACTAGAGCAACCACTTGTCTCTCTTTTTCAGAGTGCCACTAAAGAGCAATTGTATGCCTCCTCATTAAAAAATAAAAAGGACCACACTACCCCCCACAGGTGGGCCAGCATCTGGGGAGCCTGTCCACTCGGATCTTCCTGTGCTCCCCGGAAGGAAGCAGCACTCCCTGTGACATTATCCTCAGGAAAAGCCCATTGTCACCCACACCCCCATTGGCCCCACTCCACTCTCTGCCCCAGGTGAAGAATGGACTTCACAAAACAAGCAGTTTACACAATGTACTATCGGTACCATTTATGAAAAAAAAAAAAAAATGGCCCCAAATATCCAAGGGTATATACTCATGTGTCGGGAGACCTGCCAGCTGTTTTTATTTGTTTTCTTTTTGAGCCTGGAAGATTGCACACAAATCTCAAAACTGCCCCCTCTGTTTGAAAGCTCAGTATCCACAGAGCTGTCAAACCCATTTGGCACAGGCTGCAGAATCAGAAACTGGTGAGCAAAATCCTGAACCTGGGTCCTGGATGCACTTAAATGGGTAAAGCTCATCGTGTGTCTGGATAAGCACGACATTATATGTTCATTTAAGCCACGTGTGTTCGTGGATATGTAATGCTGTGTTTGGAGTTCTGTAACTTTTGTTACAGTCACCTTGAAGTCGGCAGCCTTCGTCCTGTGAAGAAGCAGTCTCGGGTCTCCCTTGGATACGTCAAGAGGAGATAAGAAGGCCCCTGATGCTGGGTTTGGGAGGAGAGGAGGGTGAAATGAGCCTCAGACCTCCCTGGGCAAACTCGTCCATTGGGGAGAAAATGGGTTTGCATAAGGAGCCCAGGGATTTCTGGGAAAGAAGAAATTAAACTCTTCCAACCCATCTCCCTGTTCTTCAAAATTAGGATAGATCGTGATGGTCAGTGGCAGGAAAAGGTTTAACTGGACTTTTGAAACCGAGGGGTGTCCAGAATCCTGGTGTTAGCAAGCAAGGAAGTCCACAGAGACTTCTCGGGAGCAAGTGTAACAGTGCCTCCTTGTGGCAGCATGAAGCAAGGGCTAGATCGATTCTGCCAGGAACTGCTAGGAGCCACTCACCCACTGCTGGGAGCCACCCACTCTCCACTGATCCTCCCTGTGCCTCAGTTTCTCCCATTCTAAAATTGGAAAGACACATATTTACTCACTTCTCCTCTCATGGAGTTCTTCTGACGATGACATTGTAAACATCCGCTGGCTAGGATGTAAATGCTGATCCATCTCATGGCATCATGGGCAGCCGTCAAAGAGAATGAATGCCCTGCCCTAGCCGATTTGGCTCAGTGGAGAGAGCGTCTGCCTGCGGACTGAAGGGTCCTAGGTTCGATCCTGGCCAAGGGCACATGCCAAGGTTGTGGACTCAATCCCCAGTGGGGGACTTGCAGGAGGCAGCTGATCCGTGATTCTCTCTCATTATGGATATTTCTATCTCACTCTTCCTTCCTCTCTGAAGTCAATAAAAAGATTTTATATATATATATATATATATATATATATATATGTATATATATATATATATATATATATATATATATATTAAAAAAAGAATAAGAAACGGGACTCTTAATAAGGAGTGAGTGGTTTGCCCACGTGCATGAACAGAGAACCATATTTCAGAACCAGAAGTGACCTCAGACGTGAGCAGAGCTTCGGAGAAAATATTGTGGAGGGCCCCTGGCAGCCGCAGGCGTGGTTTATGTCACATCAGCTTGAGTTTTGCTGAGCAGATCACCAGGCTGGCGCAGGACAAACGTTTCCTGAGGCCAGTTCCCCGGGGCCCCCTCCCTGCCCTTCAGACTCAGTGAGCGGAGCTTATGTATGACTGACCGGGACCGGAGAGAACCCTGCAGCAGAGGCCTGGCAGCAGGCACACATCTCTTCACAATTCGTGCAGCACGCCCAGAGAAGGAGCCCGAGTCTTCCGAGGTGACATGTTGGCGGGGAGACTGCCATCTCCCCGGTTGTCCCGGCCTTGGGGAGTCACGCCCTTGGGTAGGTCTCCTCTTGCCTGGGAGTGGGCCTGTGACCTGCTTCCCAGGGAGAGAGCACGGCAAAGGGGACACGGTCTGTTCCATAAGATGGCAACGCCCACCTGGCTAGCAGGCTTCCTCTCCCTCGTTGGGCGAAACCAGTGGCCATGCTGGGAGGCCCACGCTGACAAGAAACAGGGCGTCTCCTGGCATCTTCAGGAAAGGACCGAAGCCCTCAGCCGGACGGGCCCCGGGGAACGGAGTTCTGTCCTCAGCTCTGTGAGCGTGAGCGCGAGGCCCTCCTTGGTTGCTGTGGACTGAATGCTGGTGTCTTAGATTGAAGCCATAATCCCCAGTGCATTTGGAGGTGAGGGCCCTGGGAGGCGATGAGGGTTACATGAGGCCATGAGGGTGGGGCCCTCCTGGCAGAATTGCCGCCTTATAAAAGGAGGCCAGGGCAGGAGAGCTCCGCCTCTCCCCCCACAGGGCGAGGAGGACACAGCGAGAAGGCGGCCGTCTGCGAGCCAGGAGGAAGCTCCCCAGACACCCTGATGTCAGCCTCAGCCTCCCAGCCTCGCGAACTGTGGGACAGAAATGTCCCGGAAGCCACCCCCTGTGACAGCGGCCCAACCCGACCAAGACACTGGCTGGGTGTTCAGAAGCGAACCCAGCCTACACCTTCGCTGCAGCCTGGCAGAGAACTCACTCAGCTGTGCCTGGACTCCTGGCCCCCAGACCAGCAGAGAAGGCACGTGTGTTGTGCATGTGTCCTGTAAGCTGCTAAGTGGTGGTACTATTGCCATGCAGCAATAGACAGCTAACACAGGGAGAGTCTGAGATGGAACGGCAACATCCGGTCTTCCATCCAGCCCCGCCGCGGGCCAGGGCGACATCTGTCCGAGCCCTCGGTGTCTGTGTGTATGTTCCTGGGTGTCACCCCGTGTTCATGTCCCACCGCTGCCTCACCGACTCACCACAGCCTTAGCGGCTTAAAACGACTTGTGCGACGCAGTTTCTGTGTGTCAGGAGTC